GTCCGTCTCCAAGATGAATTCCCGTCCATACAGATACTTCTTGAATTTCTGGATCGCCCAGACTACTGCTAAGCATTCCTTCTCAACGACTGCATACGCTCGCTCGCTGTCCTTCAGTTTCCTACTAGCGTAAGCCACTGGAAGCAAGCAGTTGTTTCCCAACTGTAGCAGAATTGCGCCTATTCCATAGTCCGAAGCATCTGTTTGGAGAATAACTCTTCCTCCAAATCCGGCAATTTCAAGATTGGGCTCGTGGCTAACAGCTTCTTCAGTGCCTCAAACGAATGCTCCTGCGGTTCATCCCAAACCACTCGATTTGGCATTCCTTTTTTGGTCAAGTCCGTCAATGGAACTGCAGTCGCTGCAAAATTAGGAATAAATTTTCTGTAAAACCCTACTAGTCCTAGAAACGATCTAACTTGTTTCTTGGTTTCCGGCCTATTTGCATCCATGATCGCCTTCACTTTGTCAGGGTTTGGAAGTAGTCGTTGTTGTCCCACAATATGACCCAGGCATTCCAAACTATCAAAGCCCAGTGCACACTTTGTCGGTCTAGCCGTGAGACCAGCGTCTCGCAATCGCGCACATAGTTCATGTAGAACTTCAAGATGTTCTCTCCATGACTTTGTATAAATCAACAAGTCATCCACGAAACTTTTAATGTTGCACATTCCATTTAGTAGTTTCCTTACCATACGACAAAACGTTGCTGGTGAATTCATTAACCCAAAAAGCATCACTACTAATTGGAACAATCCTACAGGTGTTGAAAACGCAGCCTTCTGTTTTGAATCTTCCGACATCGGCCCCTGCCAGTAGCCCTTACTAAGGTCTAGTCTGGAAAAATATCTGTGTCCCGCCAACCGAGAAAAGATCTCCTCTGCATCTGACATTGGCTCAGCATCAAAAACGGTAATCCGATTGAGCTGTCTGTAGTCAATACAGAATCGATTCGTGCCATCCTTTTTCCTTACTATTACAACAGGAGCAGAAAATGGAGAATCTGAATGCTCTATTACTCCCATGCTTAGCATCTTGTCTGCTTCCTCCGATATTGTCGATTTCATGTTGAATGGAACATTGCGAGACTTTTCTCTGACAGGTTCTGATGAAATTGTCTTGATTCTATGCTCCACAAGCGTCGTTCTGCCAGGAACATCAGTAAAGACATCCGAATAAACCTGAATTAGGTCAGCGATATTTTTTCCCTCTTCAGGACTGAGTATCTCCGACACCAACACATCACGAACAGACTCTGTTCTAACCGATTGTGGAGTGGTATACACCTGATCTACCATGACACCATCTTCGTCATCGATATCCTCCTCATGCACCACTGAAGCACATATTATCGATAACACTCCTGCTGAGTAAGCTGTTTTCTGTCCACTATCTCCAGTCCTTTCAACATATGTACGTAGAAGATTTGCGTGCAATGTCTTCAACTTCCCATCAATGTTAATTCTGTAATCCATCGTACCCATCTTCTCAGCTATGGTATATGGTCCCCGCCACTGCATCTGAAGTTTGTTTTTCTTTGTTGGTAATAACACTTGGACCTTATTCCCAACTTTCATAGGTCTCTCTTTCGCTTTCCGGTTGTAGTATCTCCTCTGTCGGGTTTGCGACAACTTAAGTTGGGTTTGAGCAAACTTGCATGTTTCTTCTAGCTTCTCCTTCAAGTCTACAACATATTGGTATGTTGTCTTTGTCTCTGGATCAGACACGTCCTTAGTCCATAGTTCACGTAAAATCATCATAGGACCTCTCACTGTACGTCCATAGAGTAACTCGAATGGCGAAAAGCCTAGACTTTCCTGTGGTACTTCACGGTATGCGAACATCAATGAGTTGATGTACCTGTCCCAGTCGCGAGGGCATTCGGCGCACATACGGTGTAACATCTGCTTCAAAGTTCCATTGGTACGTTCCACGAGGCCGTTGCACATCGGGTGATAGGGAATTGTGGTTAGCTGACGAATCGACAGTAGTCGACTGACTTCAGCCATCAGGTCAGAAGTGAATTGACCTCCCTTTCTAGCTGAGCCCTCGTCTGGACTGCAATAGCTGTCTCTTTTGTCGTCCGTTTCCACTTTTTGTTGGGTTTGTATGGCCTCCTGGCTCCCTTCACATTTCCTATCATGACGTCATAAATTGGCGAATCCATAATCCAGCATCTGTATGTTCCCACGTAGTATGGCGTATCTAAAAATACATTAGCCACTGGACACTGAAAACTTGCACTATTGGATATTTACAAGAGTCTACTTCGTCGGTCATCTGCTCCTTTGCTACCAAACTCTTCATCACTACTATTCCTTCACACCCAGAATTACGTAACACAGATACTAAGGTATCGCCAACATAACCCTGAACAACCGGCATTTCGGCGACACAATCCTCCTCCTCCGAAGACACATTACCAATGACAGGCTCTTTGTCTTTACTTTTTTCTGCACCAGCTTTACCGGAGTTCTTTGGACAGTTATAGGACAAATGATCTGCCTTTCTACAAATGTAGCAGTATTTCCCGTTTCCGGCTGATTGCCTGTCCTTCTGAGTTTTAAGTTCTCCACCAAACTTGCTGTTCGAACCATGTCGTTGTCCTTCATCACTCTTCACTTTATCCTTCTCCCGTGATAAGTTCTTGTTGTCAAACTTTGGTTTCTGTCTCATGAAGAAACTTGCCATATTACCTCTGGCCTCTGCGAATTGATCAGCGAGTGTTGCCATGTCCTTGATACACTTTGGTGATCTCTCCTTAAAAAACAATTTCAAGTCATTACCACATGCTTGTAAAAATTGGTCCCTTACAACCAATTCGCTCTCCAGCCTGACAGCAAATTGTGCTAACGTCTCACCATGATCTGGTCTTCCCGTTCTGATTTTTTTCCGAAATCCTTCCTCTGTCATCTCAAATCGCTTTAATAAAGCATCCTTTAACACATCATAGTTGAGACTCTCTTCGACTGGTAATCGAGTAAAAACATCTAACGCTTTCCCTTTTAGAAGAGCACTTAGGTTAGCTGCCCAGTGAGTTTCCTTCACCCATCTCTGTGTCGTGGCATAACGCTCAAATCTCTGCAGGTACGAATCTATATTGTCTTTTCCTTCTTCGAATGGGGGGAGTTTTGGCCTTTTTGTCGTCGCTTCTATCTGCCTCGTCTCATCATGTCTGTCAACCCTAACCTGTTGGTGTTGTTTCTCTAACAAATCCATCAGTCTAGCATGTTCCCTGTTAGCCCTCTCCTCTTGATCTCTCCCCAACGCTCGTTTCTCTTTTAACATCTCCATCTCATGTTGCTTCTCAGCTTCCTTTTCTTGTCTCTGAAGTTCTGTTTGCTTCAAATTTCTCTCGGAGAGTCTATCTTCTCTGTCCTTATCTTGTGTATCCCTCACAAACTGTTGAAGATCTTTACCAGTATAACCCAGGCCTTCTCCTATCTTAACGAATTCTTTAAGTGGATCCATGGTGAAAAACCCCCTGCCAATAATACCACCCAAATGTTCAAATACAAGTAACTAGAATTCTGCAATAAAAGAGTTACCACAAATATACTTACACAAGACGGAATCCTGAACAAATGATCACTAAATATAACTTTCACTTACCTCAGATCTATTGGCGTTAGCCTCATAAGTGATTACATGGTGACCAGGTACCTATCTAACCAACCTAGAACTATGTCCTATGCTTAAGTAAGTTAACCTCACCAATAACCTTTCACACCTATGCCTTATGTAACTAGGAATCATTCAATCAATCCCACCGCTGCCACCAAATTATGTAACGAGAACCGACCGGGATTGATTAAATACTGGTTTCCTAGAACATAAAGCAAAACACGGTTCAAACAGTATATACAATGTATTTACAATATTCATCACACAAAATCAGAATGGCTCTCTCTCTCTCTCACTATCAACTCGCTAATGAATGACATGTAATAGGTACATATATATAAATAACTAATAATACAAAATGCCATATCAACACCCTAAAGTCTCTGTAGCTTGTTGGACGCTGTTGTGTCGTCTCCAATGTTGATGACGCCGTCCTCCCTTAGACTTGTCCAATCTCAGTGAAGTCCCCTCCAAGCTCACAAACACATATAGAACGTAGCGGGTCACACAGATCCAGCCGGTACATGTACAGGTCACACAGACCAGTCAACAGCAGGTCACACAGACCAGTCAACACTCAGTCACACAGACTTGTTGGACACAGGTCACACAGACCAGTCCACTGTACGGGTATAAAGTGTTACCCTCTCCACGGCCACACAGGTCCAGGTAAGTATATACAGTAATAGGTCACACAGACCAGCCAAAGACAAGGGTATTAGGCTTTACCCTCTCCATGACCACACAAGTACAGGTAGTTATATATGTAGGTGAAGGGTTTCTCTGGGAACGTTCAGTCTCACGTCATCGGGATCCAATAGTTGTGGAGTACC